TAACGGAAGTGAAAAAATTAATTTTAATTTCATATTTTAATTATTATTATTTTTAAAAAATATAATCCCATATGGGTATATTTAATCCTCCTCACACATAATTTTTTTTGTACTTTTTTTGTTTTCAACGACTAATTTAAAGTTATTATTTTGATGGTCAAATTTATTTATGTTTCACTAATTTTCTTGTAAACTTTATTATAGATGACCCAATATATACAAAAAACTAAATAAACAATATAGTCGAAAAAAATAAGTTTTAAATTATAATATAGTCACAAAAAAATTAGTTTTAAAAATTTTCTCTTTACACTAACGAACGAAAGAAAAAAATAAAATAAGAATAAAAAACTCAAAAAATGATAATCAAAGACGTTAAAATATAATTTATGTATAAAAAAAATTAAAATATACCTTGAAATTTGCTAGAAGGATCATATATACCCCTACATGATTTTTTTTAAAATTTAAAAGTCAAAAACATAAATTTAAAACTATTTTTTTCACTTCCGTTAAATTAAGGTATATGTGAGCTCATTTTGTAACGGTAGGGGTATATGTGAGCCGTTTGTATAACGGTAAGGGTATATATGAGCCACTTTCATAACGAGGGGCATATCAGCTCCAAATGACAAAGTTGAGGGGTATATTAGACCTTTTTCCCTAATAATAAAGATAAAAAGGGTAGTTGTTTGCAGCTTTGCTTTCTTCACCAAATTTGGTGATGTGAATAACAAACAAAAGGAAGTTTCATCTGTCCCCTAACTTATTTGGAACTTACCCATTCAATTTTTTCTACCAATAAATTTCTAAGTACTATTCTCCGTTTCAAATTATTTATTATGATTTTTAAAAATTATTATCTTTAATTATTTATAAATTTAAAATTTTAAGATGAAAATTAAATAGACATTTTATTATAGAATTCGGGCATCTAATTTCAAATTAATTTTTGTTTTATTGTTATATTTTAAGAAAAGTGGCTACAACATGAAAATATTGCAGCATAGAGTATGAATATTGTTATACCAATAATAAAAATATAATTTATAGCAAAAATATTATTAAAATAATAAAAATAAAATTTAATGCCTAATACATATATTTTTACGCCCCAAATTATAGGGTGTATATCGTGTGAATCTACTCCTTTCGTTGGCGCCCTTAAGTATTTTTTATACGCTTCCTCTTCAAGACTCGTTCCAAAAATGCTTTTGAAAATACTGATAAGGAAACTTTTAAATTTTATGTTCCTAAAAATTTATGCAATATATCAAAATGTTCTTTGCATCTCACGATCTTCATAATAAAATAAAAATTTATGCAATATATCAAAATGTTCTTTGCATCTCATGATCTTCATAATAAAATTGAAAACCCACTAAAGATGTAATTTGTTTCATTTTCTTTGTTTACTCTATCTCTAAATACTTGGTTGAAGTAAAAAAATTGAATTCCCCTACCGACCAACTTTCTTCAAAAAATACACTTTTCTTTTGGATTAAGTTTCTTATATATTGATTTGTTTTTAAAACATGGAGTTGGAAGAAACATTTATAGTAGGTCTACCAAAGATTTATGGTTTTCGAACAAAACTTGGTTGACACTCCCAATTAATATTAATATGAAGGTGCTAAGTGCTAACAACCTAGTAAATGTATTACTTCTAATTTCTCACTTACTAGTAAGAAATTAGAACTACTTCAATGAAATTACGGCTAATAGTAGGTTTGAACTCATAATTAATTATAAAATATAAACGATTTCAATGCTAAGAATCTTAAAAGTTAAATCGACAGAGCTAAAAAATTTGATCTGACGACTTTAATATAGATACCAACTTTGAAACTTGACTAATTTAGCTTCGCATTAAAAATCAAGTACCAGTTCTAAGTAAAACACCCTTTACCAAAGATAAATTTATTCGCAATACTCGAACCAAACAATTTTTGGTTTAAATTATATCATCAAAAGATTATGCAATCTTGATTGTCAATAATTAATATGATACTCCCAAGGTTAAAAAAAGAATTAAAACGTGAGGTAAGTGCACTTCAACTGAATAAAGAAAAGCATATTTTTTTATAAAAATTAAATTTAAAAAAAGGGATGTAACTTTCCACCTGGATATGTATGTACATATACAATCTTCATAAAAAGGTAAACAAGGGTGGGGTGAAGTGTAAAGACTAAAGAGACTCTCCAAAAGGGAATTTTTCACTTTTTTCAAGTGCCTCATGATATCATAACTATGTCATTTGTATAAGATTCTCCACTCATTTTCTTTCACATCGAAAAAATAGTACTTGTAGTATTTTTCTTGTTTTTTTTTTGGCCAAACCCATCAAACTTATATAATCTAATTGTCAAGACGTGTCTTGGAAATTTCCTTTTACCAAACAATCCACTAAAATAATAATAACTAAACATTATTATTTTTACTAGTATAAACATCACCATTCACAAGTACATGTGTATATGCAACAACTTTTTAATCAATATGACCAAACAAATGACGATTTGATTGTGTTTCCTTATTACACTCTATGAGATATAAAGATAGATACTACAGTTTTTTTTCTCTATACATGAACGACTTAATATTTCATTATTAATACGTACAGATGAAGAAAATAAGTTGGTGACAAAGAAAAAGTTAGTTGATGCACTTAAGCCGAGATAGTGATAAGGTCTGTATATACTCTACCCTCTCTAGACCCCACGTAATGGGGTTTCATTGTTTTCGTTTGTTGACAAAGAAAAAGTAAATGTGAACAACTTGAAATTACTATATGTATTGGGTTTTGAAAATCCGACTGCAAAAATACAGTTATAGTCTAAGTTGCTCGAACTCGGGTGCGAATCTAGAGGTCAGATCCTTCATGATCTAATTTTTAAAATTCGGGGATATGAATCCATGTATGGATGCTGCAGAATTCACCTAAAAATAATTAAAATATCTAAAAATAGAGTTATAAAACCTAAACTATAAGATATTTTGTGAAGAACTTGAGTAGAATCCTAGGAGATTAAAGAAAAAGGATTGACGTAGAAGTTTCTATACAAAAAGGTATTCCATTTTCTTCAATTTCATCTCAACTTTTGTATTGATTATAGAAGTCACTAAAACTGTCCAGACTTTCCCATCGATTTTGGTCAAAGTATCCAAAATTGATTGACCAAATCGGACACGGATCCCACACCCACATGAGATATTTCTTCTTTTCAAATGTACGAAAGTAGGGTTACTTGTGAGGCCAACATTGGTTTGTTGATTTTAGTAGATTTCATATTTAAAAGTTAGTAGTAAAATGATGGATCAAATAAATATTGTAGTAGCTAGGGGGAAAAAACTACAATTAGATGTAGTTATGGATTCTTACTTATCCTTGTTTGTTAGGTAGGCGTATCTAATTCAACTTTTTTGTATTCCTTCATGTGTAGTGTGATATAAAAATTGTCAAATGGGTATTGGTATTGCTTCCCCCATTACCATAACAACATAAGATGCGTTTTCAAGTAGATATTTTGAGTACAAATATCTGTCTAAAGCCATAGAAAATATCTACTCCTAGGCCAATTAAGAATCGGATCGAGTGTCGTTTTCTTCAAGAATATTGATAGCTACTCCCTCCAATTTAATTTTCTTTGACATTATGAGACAATGTTTGATCAATTCCAGGAAATGTTATGGAACACATGTAGATCTATCACATCATCATTACCATAACAACAATTTTGTGACTCTTCATATTAGCAATTATAAACAGAGAGAATAATGCAATATTCCACTAGGAACAAAGTATTTGTTTTGAATACCAGCACAAAGACACTTACCACCAAACTTTCCATAATAGCAATATAACGATGAGTATTGCTAGCAGCTGGATTCCAAATTGGTCCACTCAGAGGTTGCCACCTATTGATTACTTAGAAACATAAAAGACCAAAATTGTCAACCAAAACAGCAAGTTGGGATTTCCTATTTCCAAATTATGACAGATAGAACATCCAATAATGAAATCTCTAAGAAATATAAGATTGTAATGATACTTTCCATGATTTTCAAAGACTAAGGACATTAACAAAAGTGAATATCATTAGTAATTGGCGTTCTTTGTACAAAATGATTATCCAAAAGGATATCTGAAATTCTTGATGAGTCACTAAGGTCTGCATCCTCAAGGATGTTTTTGTATGGAAGATTATGTACAATTGGCAGTTAGTTTTCTGAGTCAGAGAGAAAGAAACCTTCATGTACCAGAATCTAAATCAAAGGAAGAACTAGCACACCGTCTTCCATAATGGAGTCAACTCTCGAATCTAGTGGAGAAGCTTAAGATGGACTAGTCCCACTGTTTATCACGGCCAGTCAGCGGATCTATCCTACCTTACAAAATGAAGAGGAAAGAGGGTTGACTTTCCTCTAGAAAAAAGGTTCCTTCAGTAATTTTGTACAGCTGCACTATTTCCCTCAGTCTGCTGCATAGGTTGTAGCTGCTTGCCTACAAAAACATGGTATTTGTTTAGAGACTCCGAAAACTAGAGAGGCCTTAGCTTTCTCTAACCATTTTAGATAGCCGTGATAAATTGCAACTCCTAATACATTGTTCTCAATACAAGAGAGTACAATTCCAGAGGGAATACAAAAGCAATTTAACACCACAGAGATAAATTCTCTATAACTTTGTTATCTAACCAAGCAACCTAGTTATGACTACACAGAAATATTCCTTTTCAACTGCAACACCACTTTTCACTTTCTTATGCAAATTGAGAGGTATATTGTAGATGGAATAGAAATCTATTTATCTCTCTGAGACCTAATTATTGAAAACAGACCTGGATATGAATATAGCACTCATATAAACTGACATGGACAGACGAATACCTGACTGGCCTGCAAATGAATAACAATTCGAATTATAGTTGCTTCCACTATTGGCAATGGAGGTGTGTGGTACGACATTATTCACAGGAAATTGGGATGTGATGTTCATAGGTGGTGGACATCCCCCAGATTCAACCATTTGAAGTAAATTTGGCTTTTCAACCAACGGAAAAGAATGATCACATGCCTGTTCCACAAGCCAACATTAGCATTAGCCACCAGAAAAATGACCTAGATCAATAAAAATCAATTATGCCTCAATCCCCATCTAGTTGGGGCTTGCTATATGAATACCAATATCAATAAATCAACTACACCATAATCCCAAACAACTTGGACTCAGCTATATGAATCCTCTGAATTCAGAGATCAGTAAAGTCTCAAAAAAGATATCCTTCATTGTTCAAACAAGCACCAGAAGTATAGGTTTGAGGCATTTCACTCGCATATATATACACCAAAAAGGAACACCTTATACATGAAAGTTCATAAAACCACTATAAAATATAACAAATCAAAATAGAACCACATTTGCTAAAGCAGTCTTGTGATAAAACTTTCAAATTTAACCATACTGAGAAAGAAAGCAAACAGAACCCTCATTCAACTACTCACCAAGGAACTGATGACTATGTTTCTCAAAGGGTAAGACATTATTCTCTCCAATGTGATTCAATCAGTATTTTGACTTGAGGACTAATTATCTTGGGCTGAAAAAGAATATATGCAACTGCGTTTCAAATATGTCCCAATTCAACACAACTTCTACACCAGAAAAAGAGGCATTGCACCCATAAGATGAGCAACAATGACAACCTCAAACATCTTCCAAAGCCAAGCTACCAGGAAATTGACTTACATTAAGGTTTTAGGTCTCAGAGATAGAATAAGGATCAGGTAAAATTGGATAAGAAGCTGTAGAAATGGTTTACATCCTGGAACCGACAAAGATAGAAATTGTTATTAGGATGAAACAGTCATCATTGCCATTAAAAGAACCCAGAAAAGATATCAGCAGAAGACATATTTTTAATCATTTTCAACTGCCTTAATGAAGCGTTCCCAGCCTAATTGATGAAGAAAGAAATGAGGATGAATGTTACACTTCAGGAAACCCACAAGCAAAAGGACAAGAACACGCTGGAAAAGATAACACAACCTTCTGATATAAGTCCCATTTTTACGGTAACTACATTACAGCCCTTTTAGAACTAATATTCCATGGTTTTCCCTCTTCTCTTTTTTTTTTGGATTAAGTATTCTATAGTACTCCTCCTTGTCACATCTTCAGTAAATAATTAGCAGACAATCTGACATCTATAGATCAAGAGGTAGCATATTCTGCACTCACTGAAGGAGGGCGTGCAATAAGTAACAATCACATGCTAATTAAGATAAATTAGTCTGCCTCTATCATCTCTAAATGGAGATCACAGAAAAGAACTAAGGAATGCTGGACAAAGCCAAGGAGATGCAGTAGCTGAATGGCTTTGATGTGGGATAAGGGACACTGTCAACATTTCTCATTTGCTTTATACAGATGATACCCTGATTTTCTGTGAGGTAGACAGAAATCAGGTGCATTATCTGAATCCAACCCTCCTATTTTTGAAGTTCTTTCATGCTGAAAAATGTTGGATAGGGTGCAGGACCAGAAGCCTTACTGTTGATGACCTGTTGTTAAATGCAAACTTGTCAATGGAAAGAAATAGCAAGTTGGCAGTGAATGACCCACGTGATCATATAGTTGGCAGCAAAAGGTATTTGTCAAAAGGCTGCTGCTGATTGTTTCTTCATGGGCACCATGGTTGTGCTTTCCATTGCTGATTGTTGGCAGGAGTGTTCACACCTGGACGACGATTGCTGGAGTTATTATTGTTATCCTGGCGAGGAGTTGAGCTTGTCTACTGTGCTACAGCAGCGGTAATAGGAGTTGATAGCGGCTTCTTATCTTCTTCATGCTTAAGGAAAAGCTCATGGATCCAGAAGCTTTTCATAATGCTCTTCATAAGAAATTGTAGAATTTCGAGCACAAATGGCAGCAGACCAAGAATCCTCAATTTCATAATGCAGAGAGTTCTCAAAATTCAGATCTAGTCCACCAAGAATTTTAACAATGAGTTTCGGGTTTGATACAGAATATGTACAGCAACTGTATCAACAAGATAAACTTGAACAGATAATTACTATCGAAACAAAGCCTAAATAGGAGGAGCCGAGGAGAGTTACAAAAATTTCCTAAAGACTAGGAACTACAAGATTAGAAGTCTACAGCAGTAAGGAATCTTGAGTCAGCAGGTAATCATCTGTTATTAGAAATTAGTTATTTTCACCTAGTGGGATGAAAATCTCTGATCTCTAAACAAAAATCTGGTTGTCTGGGCATTAGAAATTTTAGATTGCATAGCAGAAGTCTTCTGTGGAAGTGGTTATGGAGATACAATACTAAAGATAAAACCTTATCGAGGACGGTGATCAATCAAAATATGGTCGACGGGGCACTGGAGTAGTAAACCAGCAAGTTCTTTTGTATTTGGAAACCAATTCTAAAATACTGGGGCGAATTTGCTATGAACATAGGGTTCAGAGTTGGCAATGGTAGGAAATTATCATTCTGGAATGATAATTGGCTAGGACAAGGTCCCCCAAAGACTCATATCCAGACTTGTTCAGTCTTCCCTCTATACCTGAAGTTACAATTAAGGATGCATGGCGTCAACATGGATAGAATCTCTTATAGAAGATTGCTGAATGACTGGAAATTGAGAGGCTGGTTGAGATTCTGAAGACACTAGAAATCTTTCATTGTGTAAGGAATGTTGAAGATTCAATGGTGTGGAATGGACAGCAACAAAAATTTACAATAAGTTGTGTCTTTCATCTTCTGTCAGACACTCATCACACTATCTCCAATTGATTGGAAAATCAAGGCTCTATTCAAAGTGGTCTGTTTGACATGGTTGGTGGTCAGGAAAGCATGTTTGACACATGAAAAATTCAGACAATTCAAATAAAACATATTCCATTGTCATAAAACATGTTTTATTTGGGTAATGTCATACAGCATCAAAGAAGCATTTTGAGATTGGAATTGCTGGAATGTTGACAGCACCATCAGGAAAATCTGGAAGATGATACCTGCTGTAATTTTTTGGATTACCTGGAATGGAAGGAACAGAAAATGTTTCGATGGACTATTAACTCCTTCCCATTCTCTTGATGCCTCTTGCATTAATAGTTGGGTCAATATATCCCCTGTTCACCTAATAGTTTTTCGAGCTTCATTAGCTCCCTAGTCTTAATCTAATCATCTCTACCGGAGCTAACAATCAGTTCTTTTTGCTTCCATATTTTTGTCACCTTTTTGCATCTTCTTGATGGCATTAATGAAGCCAATTACTTCATTCTCCCCCCAAAAAAAAGAACTAAGGTTTGCTTGGGTTTAAGAACAGGGATGAAATGGTTTTGAGTGAAGAAAATACTAAAGAAAAAAAAATAAAATATGAATGCAAGAAAAATAACTATAAACATAAAGAATAGTTATTTGAATAAAAGAATTGAAAAACTACAATTATCCTAAATATATGAAATAAAAACCATGTCAATAAAGTGCAGGAACCATTTTAATTTATAATCTAGATGTGAAGGAGAAGGTTTAAGTTTTTAGAGACCAGTTACTCACACAAAAATCTAATTGCACATACGTAATCACTAAATAATTCATTCATAACATTTTGTTAAAAACTAAAACATCACTTTGCTAGCTATATAATGTCTAACGATACCCTGATAAACCCACAACCCATTGGCAATTAGGAGCGTGACAAAGAACTAAAGCACCAACTAAGCAAGGTGAGTGCCAGTAGCGCTTCAACTAGCTTAAGAACATTTTTGTTTTGATAAAGGTAATCAGCACAAAGTGTGCTGGCAGCTGTATTGACAAAAATTAAATCTGAAGCCTATTATAGATTCACACAAGGCTTCCAAAAACTGTAAGATGGATTCTGTATCAGGGTCACAAATTTCTTTACGCCAAAATGAAAATAAGAAATACAGCGCATCTTTACTTTTAGTATGAAGTTACTCTTGTCTTCAAAACATCTATTGTTCCTTCCCTTCCAAATAGTCCACCATATACAAGCAGGAATAGCCCTCCGCCACTTTTTTGTCTCACAGTTCCTCCAACATGATTCCATGATTTCAATAAATCAAGAGTGTTATCAGCTAAGTTGCTCGGACTCGGGCGCGGGTATCCGAGACGGATGCGAATCCGAGAGTCGGATTCGGCAAAATTTAAATTTTAAGATTCGGGGGTGCGAATCCGAGTATGGATACGGGTGCGGGGATTCGTTAAAATTATTCAATATTATAAATAATAATAATAATAAATATCTTGTAAAATGCTATACTTAAAAGGATATCAATTATAGATATACAAATTTAAAAGTATAAATTAATTACTTGTTACTAATTAATTTTAAAAAAATTATAATTATTTTTATTTATTATAAAAAAGAAATAATCATTTATATATATATATAGCCTATTAAATTAGATAGTAGTACATATATATAGCCTATTAAATCATTTATATATTATATATATAGCCTATTAAATTAGATAGTAGTACATATATATAGCCTATTAAATCATTTATATATTATATATATAGCCTATTAAATTAGATAGTAGTACATATATATAGCCTATTAAATCATTTATATATTATATATATAGCCTATTAAATTAGATAGTAGTACATATATATAGCCTATTAAATCATTTATATATTATATATATAGCCTATTAAATTAGATAGTAGTACATATATATAGCCTATTAAATCATTTATATATTAAGATAGTAGTACAATTCATTAAAGTTCTGACGTGCTGCCATATCTATATATATAGCATATTAAATTAGATAGTAGTACAATTAATTAAAGTTCTGACGTGTTCTGACGTGCTGCCCTTTCTTCTCCCAAGAAACCCTAGCCTTCTTTTTTCCTTTTCAAGAAAAAAGCTCTCTCTTCTTTTTTCAAGAAAAAAACTTTGAATTATTTGTTCATTTTTCCATCCATGAAATTATCTCTTCTTCCCCATTTTTTTTCTCGGCTTTGGTCAAAGTATCCGGATCGGATTGACCGAATCCGACACGCACCCCGCACCCGCGCCCGCACCAGTGTCGCGTCGAGACGGGTTCGGCCGCAAAAATGAAGAGTCCGCGCAACATAGGTTATCAGGCATTGTCCATTTCAATTTCACTAAAGCCAGGAAAAGATGCCACAGCTGGGAAGTCAACTAGTTTAAGAACTTAAAAAAGGAGTTAAAGCACTAAGAAGGTAAGACGCACTAGAATATGAAATGTGATTATAGGCACTATTTCTCTTGATAAACAGTGCCTTTCCATTCATTCTGTCAACGTTACAGGATTTTCAATAGGAAGTAAACTTTATTAAAAACTAATATGCCTTAATCCCTAACAAGTTGGGGTCGTCTATATGAATTTTCACGGATCAAATCGCTCCATTTGAGCTCATCTCATATCCAATAGAAATAAGAAAAAAAATAAAAATTACTAGAAGCTCTCTATATTTTCTACTGAAAGACTTTGATAGTACTAAAGGAATCCTAGAAAACATAGGAAGTAAACTTAGCAGCTTACCACATTTTCCAACAACAAACAATTTTGATGCATGAATTTAAGGAATGATAATCATCCGTCATAGAAATTAGCCAGAACGGCCAGGGGATGAAGCAAATATAACTATCACTTCCAAAAGAAAAAAGAAGAGGTCAAATATTATCTCAAAGAAGAAGAATTGAAGAAACTGTGACTATACAATCAATGAGGGCATATAAGGTGTCGCCAACTAAAACACAAAGCAGAATCTGACTAACCTTCTCCTGCTGGTAATTAATTTGTATATGAGAGTTGTTGCTATGACACAGTATGTCCGCTGGCATCACATTACTTTTTAATACTTTTGGACAGGCAAACTCATTGCCACTGTCATTACATGATGCCTCATGATACATATAACTGAGAGCTGATCTGAGACGGACTACTCTCTGAGAATAGTACATCTTAGTTGCAAGTGGATGTGGAACATCTGGAGGTCAACAACACACAAAGTACCATGTAAATATTTGCACTAGAAGTTAAGGAAAAGACAATGTAGCAAAATGACTCATAGAGTAAATCACCATGAGCATAAAAGAAGTGATCTTCGAAATTCTTTTTGACTACAAAAGTTTAGGACTTTGTCTTTATAATATGAAAAATCAGGGGTAGCTATGAGCAACTGAAAGAAAGATGTGACTACCACCTTCAGCCTTTGGACAAAATTTTTGGACTTGAGTGGCAATTTTAACTGCAACAGCACGACTACCAGTATTGTCACTGCCAGCGGTTGACCTTTCTTGATGCTCCTCACCTGAAACTTCACAATAGAACCTATACATGAGCCACTTTAAACAATGAAAAGCTGACCGAGAAAGAAACACCCTCTATTTTTTCCTGAAAGTGAATTAAGAATTTCAGAGAAATGGTTTTAAATCACCAAATTAGTCTTCCCATGTGCTAGTTAACTGTATTGATAGCCTTTGGGAGGAAATATCTGGTTTTTCCTTCATCCCAAGAATAAGGCACCCCAAAGAAATGTACAGCAAATATATTACATGAAGAACTCTTCTACCACTCAAAAAGTTTGACGATGCAAATTTTGAATCAAATTTTTCCACACAATATGCACAAAGTGAAGCCTGACAAAATGTCCTTGTAAAACAAAGAAGGGTGTGTTGAATGGAAGTAGATTTCTTTTCTTTTTTTCCTTTGATAACACCAAAAAAAGGAAATAACTGCAACGACCCGCTAGGTTATTCTTTAGAAGTGGTTCTCCGTTTTGTGTGTCATCAGCTTCAAATGCTCCATTATACTTGCTTGCAAAATCTGAAGTCAATTGGATGTTGTTTGGTTTACTTTTGGTAAAGACGTCATTTAGAAAATTAACATTACCAGTTTAAAAAAAAGGACTTCATTTAGAAAATCCCGGTATTGTAATTTGAGATTTTGAAGTATGGGAAAAACGTGCTCCATTTGGTAATTAGAAGGTTCTATTAGGTTCGTATTATTATTTGTGACCCGTATGAACTTAGGGAAGTGATTTATAGTCCAAGGGATGCCTTGACATAAGTTTCAAATGAGCGCGCACAATACCTAACTCCAAACTAGAATAACGCGCAATCTATAATGAATATGGAGAAGTAAAAAAGATGAAAGTTGTAGTCCTTTGAGTCTAGTTTCAAATGCATTAAATCGTTTATCAATCACAGTTATGCAGAAAAATAGTGAAAGGTGTCTAGCAGAAAAATATGGGTCTTCAGATACAACAAGTGAAGGACATGGTACGACCCGCTGAAGCACTTGGGGTTGCGTTAAAGAAACACGGACAGCAACACTTGTTTTGTGAAATTTTGAGCTCAAGCTTGAGAAAAAATTTGGAAAGGAGTTTGGGGATCATCCTACCAACTAAGTATGGAACAATTTGAGATTGTAGTGATGTACTTTTGGTCACTTCTTGGTCGTAGTACTCTGGGGATTTCAGCACTATCAAGTTTGGGACTATCAAATGCTCCGTTTGTGAACTTTGGGCAAGTGCTTGGTCGCAGTATTATGTTGGATGTGAGGTAGGGAGATTTGAACTACTACTTACTTGCTTCCATTAACTAAGCATGAAATAACCACTGTGAACTTGTTGTGATAACCCTTAATATAATATAATTGAATATTAAGATATCGGATTGTTTACCTAATATGGGTTATTTAGGAAGTACTCAATATAATGTTGTGAAATATTTGGGATATCCATGGAGATTTATTGAGTTAAGTTTGGGACTCCTCTGTTGAGATAGTAAATTATTGTTTTTGATTATTTGCAAGATGGTTGGGCCACAGTTACTCATATGATTAATTAGCAGTTGTCTCCTTTTATAAGAGCTTTTATGCTTCAAATTAAGTCCTGAAACTTGTGATATTAGATTATATTGGCTTGACTGTCATATTATTTATGGTGATGTTGGGTCTTGATATAGTCATACATGATGTTTTATGTTATTTATGAGAAATATAGGAGAAGAATTATTGAATTGTTGTGTCTACATTATTACACAAAGACCTTATTTATAGACACTACAATATAATCCTTTACCAAGTAGGATACTCTTTACTATTCTTATTCCTATTCATAGTCTTTTTTTGGTGTAAACACGAATATCCTCAAGAAGAAGAGGATATTCCTAGTATTTTAGATTATTTATGAAGCTTAGTAGGGACACCCCTCCCTCTGTAATTTTGTTGCAAGTATCACTGGAATACTTTTCTGAGTATTCCTTTTGTTCATAATACAAGTTACCTTTTTCAAAAAAAAAATCTAAGTAGGATTGTATATACCTATTCCTATTCATAGTCTTATTCCTATTCTAAGTAGGATTGTATATACCTATTTCTATTCTAACATTATTGTTATGATTCATACATGCTGTCTTCGGGTGTATAAGACGATTGGGCCAGAGTCACCCTTCACATCCCGATGAGACTTTGCGTAAGACGTCAGGCCAGAGCCACCCTTCGCAGCCGGAATCGTAAGACGGTTGAGCCAGAGTTACCCTCTGCAGTTTTGAGGTTTTATTTTTGTTGATTATATTAGTAAGATAGTTGGAGTTACCCTCCGCAGTTCCAAGATTTTATTGGTGTTGATTATTTGTAAGACAGTTGGGCCAGAGTTACCCTCCGCAGTTTTGAGGTTTTATTGTTGTTGATTATTCAAAAGATGGTTGGGTAAGAGTTACTCTCCGCAGTTCTGGGGTTTTATTGTTGTTGATTATTTGGTCTAGCCATATGAGTCGGAGAGGGCCTATTATTAAGTTGTGATCTGACGATGAGATCCTTGGATATGTTATCTGTTGTGCAGATTTGAGATACTAATATCTATTCCATACTTGTGATTTATGATATTGAAAAATGTTGGCAACATTGTTATTAATAAAGTAATCCTGTGGAGTCTAGTGAGACTCACACCAGTTTGGTTGCAGGTTTTACTTTTCATGGCACGTTGGGCAATTCTTGGTCCTATTTGTGGCCATCTCTCAACGATGTCGAGTGAAACTGCCAGCTGTTCATTGTAGAGTTTATCTTTTCACGTTACATTTTACTTACATTGTTGGGCTTAAACCCGATGTTGTATTTTGAAAACCCTGCAGGTGCTCTATGAATAGTATGAGTTGGGATTAGCGCAAATTTTGGTTTCATTCTCTATTCTGAAACACTTGTATCAGATTCTTCATTTATATTACTTCTCCTAGTTAAACTACTTCCTTGATTAAATATTTTCAAACTTACTTTTCCTTTCTAGACTTGGTTCTTTCTTTCACAAAATGGTCATTCGCTTTAAACTGGTTGAAATAGATAATGTTTTGAAGAGGTCCGCCTAAGGGGTAGTGGCTCATTAGGTGCCTTGGCGTCTCATGAAAACGAGGTGTTACAGTAACTTTATGAAGAAATATAAATCTGGCCTTACCGGGAATAGCTTCTCTTGAATTTGCAGACCAACTCTTAGTAACACCATTTACTGCACCAAAATTAGCTAATAGCTGCCGATTTCCCGCAATTAGCCTACAAGATGAAGAAAAATGCCATCAATTTATGAAATCAAGAAAAAGGATCTTCAATTTCCCAACACAGTTCAAAGAGATTAACCACTTAATTGGGCCTTAATATGATTTTTCTGGTGCATGTATGTCTTTATTGTATCAAAACTAATCAACTGGTAACTTAAACCAGCCAAAACTACGCCATAAAAGAAGCATCTATCTCAATCTTCAAAATGAAATAATAATACTGCATTCTCTTCGCATATGAGCCATCATCAATAGGTTTAATGGTTTACCCACCAACAGATAGAACATTATATACTCCAATGCAACAACTGTTTGATTACAAATGTTTGCACTAACTAAAAGTTAAAAGACAGTTGGAATTATGCACTCTGAAAGAGGGAGAGGAAAATGCAAGACATTGCCTACGTCAAGTGATAAGTGCATACATCTTAGAATTTTCTTCCTGGTGTAAGATTGCACCTTCTGAGCAATCTACAGGTCCAGGATTAACCATGGAGCTATTTCTCACAGTGGCCACATTTAAGTGTGATGAAATTCCTGCAGTTATACGGAAATAGACAAGGCAATCAGCATAAGAACCATATGAAGATGTAGCTTTTGCAAAATTACTAAATATCAAGCTCTTTTGACAGCACGGAAACGCTGTAAGGAAATATAGAGGGACAAACAGGTAACTTCTTTATCATTTTCATTTGGTGAGGCACCCCTTAAGAAATAGAAGCTCTCAGAACTAAAGTTTCACAACCCTCTCTCCCACCTACATCGAAACATTAAGAAGGGAACATTTTGTCCAAGTATTGAATTTGAAAAAAGAAAAGAAACTAATCTCCATGTTTCATAATGTTTGACTAGACACTGAGCTTAAGAAAGACTTTTGGCACATAACAAAAGTACCCTTAAAACTTGTGGTCTCAAAGGATGTCATGACATTTTGTAAGATATAGGAGCATGTCATTAACAGTATAATGAGAAGTTAACAAGTTTTCAAATATAAAAAGGTGTCGTTTCTTTTTGGAACAATTGAAAAGGAAATAGTGTTATATAAAACAATATAGAGGGAGTATAAACTTGTAATAATAACTGTGCATTTAATTCATTAAACAATGTTAGGAACGTAATAACAATACAAAGGAATCGTTTAGTTGAATGTAGGAATAAATGGGTTTTACAGTTAAGCTAAATCCTATGAATCATCAGTAAAATAAGGAAAATGACTACAAGAATCACAAGGAGAACAAGAAACATGAGAAAAAAGAGGATGATACTTTTATCTTTAGGAAAGGAAACAGTTGAATGAAGCTCCTCCGAACAGCATGATGATGCAGCAAAACCATTATCTAACAATTCAGGTTTTGCTTTCTTTCTGACTGATATAGGTTTGTCTATAGGAAATTAAAGATGGCAAATCATTATTAAGCAATAAGAACAGTTATACACCATAACAACAACTTAAAGTATGCGAACGGATCTCAGCTTATAGAGAACTGCAGAGATGACCTCATAAACTTTTCTTCAAGAGCATAGGACAACCAAAAACAATGTTCATTTAGGGAGAGGATACTAGAGTATGCAGTTAGTGACTTTTTCCTCTCTTTCCTTGGGCGTTTCTTGTGCACGGTACCATCATTGACCTCCAAAGCAATTTCTTCTGCAGAGTTTAATGACTTACAAAGCTCTGAAAAGATAAAACATGTTACACAAGATGGACGACTAGAGAAGGCAAAAGACAGTAGTTTTAAAGCTGGTCTCACTTTCCAAGACTAAATTAAGACAAAACTCAGCTATGGTGATAATATCTTTTTGAAGTTTGGAAAAGATTGTGCAAGGACTCAACCTGTTCGGCAATTTTAAGGGTCTTTGCACATACACCAACCACCCAAATGACAGGGTTGATTAGTCAATGAGGGAAATAGGAAGATACTGTTTATATGTCAAAAGGTTTAAGGAGAAGCATTGGAGAGAAACTTCTAATTCATCAAGTTTCTGTCACAGGCCAATAGTGACCAAGAAAATGCAACATGAACAAACGCTACTACTACTACTACTACTACATCCCCATCCCGAGTTAGTAGGGTCAGCATATAAATTATCACTGTCAATTTTGCTCTATTTGGATTAGTTTTTTGTACTACTCAATAATTAGGGTTATATCTCTAACAGTAGAGTTTCTACATTTTCTACTGACGAACTAGGGAGAAAAAGTTGAGATGGTAAGGAGAGATGGACACGGGCCACCTTGTGCAACTAGTTAAAAAGGGATAGGGCAATAAGTATTATCTGACTCTTAACAGAGGATATATTTATGATAAGGTCTTCATCAAAAAAAACAAAAAGATATATTTATGATAAGGTAGAAGTCTCCAAGGGGTTTATAATGTTCTAGGTACTTCACTCGTAGCATTAAGGTTTTGACTTAGATACTCAGATTCTTTCATGTAGTATCGCAGCAGAAAAAGTCCTAGATTCAACTCTCACCACTGCCCATTCACAAAAAAGGATATCCACATTTGACCCAAAAATAAAGATAGAAAGAAAGAAAAGAATCAAGCACGTACATGAGAGAATGTCAAGACATAATTAAACAAATAAAAGCTTTTGGATGAGATGGTTAGAGTACTCAATACGATTAGACATACAAGCTTATGGAGAATACACTAGTCCTATATTGGCAAAGTAAGGGTCTCCAGAGGTCCAGACAATCCATATGTAATCACTAGAACCTGGATACACATGCAGGAGAGTATTAAAGAATATACTAGTCCTAAATTGGTAGTGTAAGGATTTCCAAAAGGGTTTATAATATTCCGGGGCTTCCCTACTGATAACTATTAAGGTTTTGAGTTGGATGCTCCGATTCTTTCACATAATATCACAGTAGACTAATGCCTTAGATTCAAGTCGAACTGCTGTCAATTCGAAAAAAGTACTTCAACAGGCTTAACCCAATAAAATAACCAGCCCCATGTGTGTTAAAACAAATTTAATTAGAAAAGTATCCTCTCTTTTTCTTTGGGGAAATAAGGAGAAAAATATCCCCTCTTACATTAAGCTTTGCTTCTAGAAAAGATTGACACAAAACTTAACATATTTCATATATGAAGTGGCTCCAAAACTAATTTCATGATTTGATATGTATCTGGAACTATATAAAAATAGTCAGTTCGAGATTACAAAGCAATTCTAGAAAAGCAGAATATCGTTCATAAAAGAAATGAAAAATCCCCACAAAAATTCATTACATTATTAGCATTGCATTGAGAATGGCATTATGGAACTACTTTACAAGATAGGCATTTCTGCTGTTTTAAAGAAGAAATGATAATGAGTTTGGGACTAGTATCCCATAGTTTATCATGGTTGATGTTATTTCCAACTATGATAAGTCCATGCAAATGTAAACAGAAGGTAAAAGCGTCTATTTAAGAGTTGAAATAAAACTATGCATACAACAAACTGATGTATAACTACAACGACAAGTCGACACTAGAACACAAGATGTTTTAAGTTATTAAAAAGGGGAAAAACCTGAATGGGCAACGTATTGGCTGGCCTTTATTGGCTTCTTACAAGAATTGCAACATACCTTAAGAACAAACATTCAAGAATCAATTTTTCCACAAAACTATGAATGCAGTGCATTAGGAATTATCATCACGCAAGCAATCATGTAAGTCATTTTGAGGTATCAGTGTTAAATCTTCTATTGGAGAAATTTCCTACTAGATGATCAACCATATGTCCTTTCACCAGGTGAGAGTAGATTGTTTGCTGCTAGACTAAAGGAATATGCTTGGAAGGAAACCAAAATTAAAGCAAAATACTGCCATCATGAGATAAGTAACAAACATAACGGCTTTGAGAGAGTTAATGTTGCTCTCCCTCCGTTACGATAAGACTGGCCTACTTTCACTCTACCGCAAAAAGTAAAACTTGTCCTATTTACTGAAATGAAAAAGCTGTTCCTCCAATAATTCAAAGTAATATAATAATTACATCTCTATATTAAATTTAAATTTGACACAACATCATTTTAACTAACTACTTCATTTTTTATACTTATCAACTACAATTTTGAATAATTCGACATCAAAACCAACACGGTATACTATTTTTGAGATGGCCAACACGATATATACTAGCTAAACGTCTAATTCCTAAACCTTGCGCTAGTCAAAGTCAGCCTATCATTATGCTTTTGGGAGAGGGGCGTGTGCACACATGTTTTATATATGGTAAACACCTTTCAATAGAAAAAAGAAAAAAAATTAAGTTGTATATATATGTGTGTGTGTGTGTGTGTGATGTTACCTTTATCAAAAAATATGTGTGTGTGTGTGTGTGAGCGCGCAAACATGTTTTATCCTTTGAATATCATTCTAATGAATTAAATTCATCTATAAGAAAAGCCTAAAACATGTTTTATCCCTTGAATATCATTTTTCCAAAAGTCAAACCCAACAGCCCTACGCTCTGATCGTTCTCCAACAACAAAACAATTTGGTTTCTAAAACCAAAATAAAAATTGAAAGTCTAAAATTGAACTCCAACTAAGTCCACAACAACAACATACACAGTATAGCTCCACAAGTGGGGTCTAGGGAGGACGGGATGTATGCAGACCTTACTCTAGCAATAAAGGTTCACACGCCTTTGCTGATAGGGTTATTGATTTAGGAACAATAATTAACTTCTCTAATCCATTATGCTGATTGAAGGCGCCAAAATGGAATAAGGTAGACATAGAATCATAAGGTTGGGAATATTTAGAAAAGACTTTATCCCTTTTTAAGGAGAAAAACAGAAACAAAATTGCTAGAAAAGTTTTATCAGAAGACAGACTAATTAAGGGTAGAACACAAGATGGAAGCAAAGAATCAATATATATGATACCACAAGTGAGAAATAGCTTAGTCATTGTTATATACTTATACTAAGTCTAGTGCTTTCCAAAGTTCTTTTTAATCTGGTTTGAGACTTCTATTAGTGTATTCCTAACTTGTCTTAAGACAAAACTTTTTAGTATTGTGGACTCGAATAGACAGAATGGCTGCTGAGGATTCATATGGTCAACACGAACTATTTTGGGATTGAGGCCTAATTATTGATTGATTAATAGAATTTTGTCCCCCTAATAGACTTACTGCTATCACCACAGTCATCAAAAAAATAGAGTTACTGCTATATTTTCATATTAATACATAGTGTTCCCCCTCTGCTAAATTTAAAGGTCTAATTTCTTCTGAAGGCAGCAGCCAAAAGATATCTTCAATTTATTCACACTTAGTAGTTATAAAATATTATCTTCCCTTTCTAAACTCAATTTTATAATACCTAATATCTCTTCATATGCGTGAACTCAATCAATATATCAAAGTCCAAAGGAACTCATTAGTTCAACTAATTATCATGAATATCGTCATATCAAATTCTTAAGTCAACATTGCCAAAGTAGCATAAGCCTGCAAAATCAGACCTTTCGGCTTAGTCTATTGAGACATTTTATCAACAACGCATGCACATTTTATTATAATTATTATTATTATTTTAATTTTTTATTTTTTTTATTTTTTTTTGTGTGTGTGGGGGGGTGTTCTATTCCACCTTAGTTTCTCAAGATGAGTAATTTATCCTAGTAGATGCCGAAGGATGTGGCTTATTCAGCAGTTACTTCCCATACACATTCAGAAGAAAGTCATAGTTGAGTTCTAAGTTGATGTTAGAGTGGATCAAAGTCCCACATTGGTTGGGGAATGGACTAGTGGTCTGCTTATATGGATATGGGCAATCCTCCCTTCATGAGCTATCTTTGGGGGCTGAGTTAAGCCCAGGTGTCATATCTTTCCATTGTATCAGAGCCATGTCCATTCTCGTTTGGACTCCCAGCCCACGCTCCAATTGGGCCTGGGCGTGAAGGGGGTATAAAAGTGGGTTAAAGTTCCACATTGATTGGGGAATGGACTGGTGGTCTGTTTATATGGATTTGGGCAATCCTTCCCTCATGAGCTAGCTTTTGGGGTTGAGTTAGGCCCAGGTGTCAAATCTTTACACGATACAACTACTTATAACCCAATTCCGCCTTAATGTTTCTATTTGATGAGTACTTTCTGCCTTAAGACTTATGATAGTCCATGCACAGTCCTACAGATAAAGCTTATTTAGCTATATACGAGGTTAAAGAAAACATGTATGGCACTACATTTATATCATTATCATTCTTCTTCTTTTTTTACAAAGGTAACAAGTTTGTATATAAATCTTTAGCACTAAGGCTGGGATCCCAAAAATTTACATCCCAAAGCTACATAATACATACAACTGAGTAGGCACATCAACCCAAAAAAAGAAAACCTATCTCAGGTCCTATTTCATCTTACAAGAATCCTAGAATGTCTACAATTGCTGCAGGATCATCTGTATACTCAGAACTACACCAATAACAAAAAGTGATAATGCAGTCCATTTTAATCTTATGGAAAGGACTATTGATACTTTCAAAACATCTTGAATTTCTCTCCTTCCAAATGGTCCACCATATCACTGCTGGAACAATTCTCCATCTGTTTTTGCCTGTGCTACCACTCCCTTCCCTATATCATTATCATTCTATTTTCATGTTTTCTGAATACTGATATAGACCAAAGAAAGCCAAATACTCTTTTGTAAACACAAATGTGAAAAATTATTAGAAGAAAACTTGTCTAGCAATAAAACTTTTGTGATGGTATCAACAAGTTGAACGATCTTAGTCAAGATTGAACAGATGCACTTTCTGGACCTTACCAAATGCAAAGGATCGGTAAGTGGCCTCAAACCAAACACGTGCATATCTGCAAGAAGAGCATGCCAAGGTGATCGAACAATAAAAGCAGATAAAGCAGATATAGATGCATTAAATGGTAAACCGATTGATACACCTGAAACTTCAACGCTTGCTACACTGAGATTTCTTAAACTAGTGTAAAATTTGTAAATCTAGATGAAAAAGTAAATCTTTATCAACAAAGCATGCAAATCAAGCCACAATCAACATGAACTTTTTCTCATCTTCCATGCCAAGCAACTGGACTTGAGGTGAAAAAGCTAGAGAACATAAATACCTTCTTCATCAATCAAATTTGCTTCATCTGCCTCTCTCAATTCTCTTTGAATGTACTGAGCAGCTAATTTATGGCGGCCTTCTTCCTCTGCCAAGGAAAGAAGGCAGTGAGAAACAAAGGTAAAATATCTCAACAAACAAAATTAAAAAGATAGTGGGAAAAAAAAATAGAAGTATATGAGACAATAAGGAGTACACCAGACCAGGTCAAGACTTATAGCTAACATGATAAAGCACAATTAAATGGACATAAACACATAAACTGTCTGATTGAGTTATATTATTCACCTGAAGCTGTTCGTTGGATATTTCCAGCTACAAGAAACCTTGTCAAGGCTTCCATTCTCCCACTTCCAAGAGGACATACCATCAAGTTCTTGAGAAACTACAATACAAAAAGATAAATTTCCAGTAAATTTGACGAATGGCATACTAGAAACTATGTTTGATTAAGTTATGTACTAAGTGAACAACCTATAATTCCTGATATAGCAGAAGGACAAGAAAATACTTCATGCATAATAAAGAGCACCAGTAAGACTTCAAATAGGGGTCTTCCACCTTATTGCTGCTGTAAGCACTCTTAGCCCCCCAACACTTGCAAGTTTCCTATTTTTCCTATTTGAATAGGTAAGCAATTATAGTGAACGGGCAACCATTTCCAAGCCTTTTTCATCATCAACAGTTGCATTAAACACACATGAATAGTTAATGAAAATTTTGGCATTTCTTTATAATTGTGATGTTCGAGCCAGCATTTGCGCACCTCGACTGATTCCACGGGATACTTGTCACCTCCCAGTTCCCACTAGCAATAAGTAATGGCTAACTTGTCCACCAAAGCTAGGAGCCTAGGATAGATGGGAAGAAACCACCTAGTGCTTTTGTCTTTGCTGAGATTTGAACCTGAGACCTCACGATCACGATTCTGATTCAACTTCATTGACCCCTAGGCCACACCCTTGGCTGCCTAAACTTGAGCGCGTTTACTAGCTAAAATATGTAAACTCATATTGCATTGATGGGTATCAGGGTAAATCTCTACTTAACATGAACAAAAGATTGGTCCTTCATTAGCGTAGATAATTAAGTAGGCTAACAACCTCCACTCTATAAAGGATGCTAGCCTTCAAAGTTAAAACACGAAGGAAATGGGTAACAAAGAGAAGGCATCAAGTGTAGAAGTCATAATAACAAGCAAACTTCTGATTACGAAGTGTATCAAAATTTTCTTAGAATGTTAAGCTAACCTCAAACTGTAGACACATTAGGGTATTGGACCCATTTGTAAAGGAGATGTAAATTCTTTGTCAAATTCATTAAGAACATGTAATAGGATATCTGTTTATGGGCAAAAAACTTTGATGAGAGTAAGCAACCATAAAAGTAAAGTTTAAGTGGTAAAATTGAGGAAGTTCCCATGTTCAATCATCAATTACTTTTTGTCAACCCCATGTTAGTTGGAGTTAGTTATATAAACCACCTCCATTCCCCTCTGTCGGGTATTCGAAGGATTCATCATTGTTAGACCATGTTTAGATTGGTCATCAACCTATGGGAACTCAACCCCAATTAATATTCTGGAAAAGTTAATTTCAGGCAAAACTAGAACTGCAATTATCAAAATTTTATCCAATAAAATACCACAAGTATCCATGATGAAATATTTCACTTATCCAACAAAAAAAAAGAGTGCAAAAGGTCCTTTTTTTTATTATGGAACCAAAATGCATGTCCTGATATGTAGCACTATGTGTATGAGAAAACAAATGAAAATCAATGAGTGCTCAGAAGAAGGTCCAGAAAACAGGTATGCCAAGTACATTGATCATGGACTGCACCTCGGACTCTACGGCACAATGCCACTACAAAAGTCATACGTAAATCGTCAAGTGACAACACTTCGACAAACAGAGGAAATTTCAGTTTCTACGTTACATCTTCAACCACATTTACTAGAATTTCCTAGACAGATAAACATCAAAAATACCAAATTATATACATATATATCCAAGTATACATACTAATCATCAACATGAGATATATGTACGAAATTGTGGAATTGAGGAAACAATTAATGAGTAACGCTTCAATTAAATCATCATAAAACGCCTATAATAGAATTAAAATTAAAAATATCTTCTTATTTTCTTTTCAATAAAGCTAAAATCAATTTAAATCTGTAAAAATAAATCAACTGAAAAGAAATGGATAACACAGCGACATTACCAGATTTCACCGTCGGTGATCACTTAGAATTTCGAGAGAGACGATTCGGTGGGTAAACGATGAGAATTTCGCAAAATGTAGATGAAATTCGGGAGAGTAAGCTCAAATTCGGTTCGGAAAACGTGAATAAGGAAGAAATGGGAAGAAAACCGACAATGCCGATCATTGAAACCCTAGAATTCCGTTGAAGAAGTCGGCATTGATATCAGAAGTCACGTCGCCGATGAAGAGGCGAAGGGAAAACAGAAAAGAGGTGGCAATTACTGAAGCGCGGCCTTTTAAGGCCTGTTTAAGGAAGGATGGAGTAATATTAATTTGAGTTAATGACTATAAAACCCTTTTAAACTATCCCTTTTCACGAGTTTATACTTAAATATTATACTTATTTTTAGGGTTAATTAATACCTGAAAACACCCATAAAATATCGTAACATTTTCACTCTCTTTGTATTGTGGGAGAGTTAGAAATTAGATAAAAAGGAGTATATACATAGCATTTTACATTATTTATTTATTTTTGAAAGACTTGGTTAAAAAAACATAGTCCTTAACACGCACAATATTTATTTTAAATATGTTTTAGTATTCAAAATGTTCAATTAAATGTATTACCATTGAGTAAAATGTTGTTCTAATTTATAATTAAGTTATTAAAGAGTTTTTTTTTTCTATTCTACTATTACTTTAGAATTATAGCTTTCAACTAAATTTACTATTGTAAAAGAATTATTGAATCTGGCGGCATTATCTTTATGGAGTCAAGTGTGAGGTATCCACTAATCAACGCAGTTTACAACATGTGTTCACTCAGAAAAAAATGAATTTGAGACAAGAGATGAATGAAATTGCTCAAGGATTGTGATGTGACTATTTAGTATCATCCACGAAAGGTCAATGTGATGACAGATTCATTGAGTCGGGAAATGGTTAGTATGGGTAGTTTGGCTTATTTGGGGATGTTTAAGAGGCCCTTAGCCAAAGATATTTAGGCTCTGAAGTCTAAATTTATGTGGTTCGGCATGTCACGATCTAAAGTACACCTTATACGTGACATGACGTGTAAGATCCCGAAAGGTCCTACACAAGCCACTTGACATACATATACACAATATAATAGACAAAAGTAGAATATTTCATATCATGAAAGAGTTTTAACATAAAGGCGGAAATCTAATATAGTCTTGACAAGTCTTTCTACAACATCAAGGAAGTGGTCGGGAAGTAACCTGTACACCACGTACAACATTCGTAAAGTAAAGACATAAGAAAGCAATAAAGACGACATGGTTCACGTAGTATGAGGACTCACCAAGTTTTCAAATCTCTAAAGTGATCAACTAGCCACAAACGGATGGAGAGGAGTCGTCAAGCCATGCATTAGTGAAACAATGTAGGCACAAGAGTAAATGTATATTGTTGTGGTATCATTAAGATTTCTTGTTCAAAAATTACTCATTAGTCAATGATACTATAAAAGTATATATATATATATATATATTTTTATTTTTATTT